AAAAATATGCATCTGAGATGTACATAACCTGGGCCAGGCTGGGCCAGGGGAATAAAGAGGTGGCATTTTTGCATAATTACTTGTTGGACTACTTTAAGAGGGAAGTATCTTTTGCAAAAGCTGACCCTGCTGTGCATGTTCCTGATGTTAGCCTGCACATTCTGGTATGAATCTATTTTCAAACACCATCATAATACATTACTACACTGATGCAATTTGTCACTCCAGACCTGACTCTGAAGCAGATACACCTGAGATGTACAGGAGCAGAGCCTCTGAGTGTTTCAAAAATCCCACTGCCCATTAATCTAACATTTTCTTAGGACTCATTTCAGATAAAGCGATATTGTGCAGACTACATCCCTGCTCAGACTACTAGGAAAAGGCAGGGTAGCACTTTACTAACTGGTTCAGAGAAGCATGAGCATTCATAGGTAAGAGCCCACGTCAGAATCTATGAATGAACTGCAGAAAAAGGTGGGGTTTTTTTTTTTTTAAAACAGAAGAGAGACAAAGGGAGGGGGCATTGATGAGAAAGTCAAAAAGTGGGTAGATTTGAGCAAGAGGAATAAGCAAGGTATTTAACACTTCGAGGGATATACGAGTTAACAACTGGAGTTAATAGTTTGTTCAGTACTGTCAGAACCCACAAGTTAAGCCCGCTTAGTTCTGTGTTGATCCCTGGATAGATGAACCTGGGATATCGCATAGGAACAACTTCAAAAACTTGGTGCCAGAGACCATACATAGAAAGTGGCGGTTAGCTGTGTTCGTCTGACGTCAGGGTAGATTTGGCCAGAGAAGAAAGGTTCTCCTTTGCAGTGAGTGTTGGATCCATTGAACAATTAACAGCCAGAAAGGCAATTCTGATTCAAACCAATGCAGGCGATGAAGGCTGAGATGAATATAAACCTACATCCTAAAGGAGAAAAGTAGCTTGGCTACTGGGCATAGGACTCTCTGAAGTTTGAGTAGTAATTTGAAGTGTACAAAAAAAAAAAAGAGCTGTAACAAGAAGAAAGAAAAAAACAAAGGCAGGTAAAAGCTTTAGGCCAGCAATGTCAAACTCGTATTGGATGGAGGACTACATTCCCTCCTTCTCAGGTGCCTGCGGGCCACATCCTGATACTCGAGCCGGCAGCCCCAGCGGTTCAACGGGCAGAAGCTCTGACTCTGGTGCTGTGGCTTCCTGTGATCGCAGCCATGGTTGCTGGGTTTCCTGTGGTGACCCAGCAACCTGGTGACAGCTGGAGTGGTAGCAGCCTGAGAAGCCCCTTCACCGCAGCCACAGTGGCCAGAGCTCTAGCTGCAGTGGTGGGGCTTCCCATGGCAGCAGTCGGTGCCCCAGTGAGAGCTGGATGCTAGCAACCCGAGCAGCACCGTAGGTTCCCACGGGAACAGCCCACATCCCAGCGAGAGCCAGAGTGCTGGCAGCACCAGCAACACCACAGGGAAAAGCCCTGCTACCACGGCCAGAGCCAGGGCTCTGGTCAAGGCAGTGGGGCAACCGGTGCTCTGGTGAGAGCCCAAGCACAAGCAGCTCTGGCAGCAGCATGGTCAGAAGCTCTGCCATCGTGGCCAGAGTCCACTGAGCCAGGCCATTTGTCCCGGCTCTGGCTGCGGTGGCAGGGTTCCTGCCCAGGGGGCTTCTTGGTGCTGTACTTCCAAGGGCCACGGCTGCTGCCACGGGAACTCCACCACCACAGCCAAACTGGGGCAAAAGTCCGCGGGCTAAATGACCCGGGTCAGTGGGCCGCATCTGACCCACAGGCTGTATGTGCCACACCCCTGGTTTAGGCTGAGGTAGATTCAAAGAAAGGAAAAATCCTAATAATATTCCAGAGAAGCTGACAAATAAGCTACAGAGAATAGAGCTATGGAAAAGAGAAGCTTGGGGTCCTGGGCAGCTCTCAAATTTCTTGTCTTGGGAGCAGTGTTTAATAAAATAACAACAAAGTCTGAGACAAAGGAAAGAGAACACATTTTTTTTCCAAGGAGGATTTCACTTCTTGCAGAACAGAAACACCTGGGTGAGGCGAAGGACTAGCCATCAGGATAGGGAGTTAAAGGAATATGAGAAGTCATTTGTATGGAAGTAATGCCCAAAATCACAGTGATCAGTCACAACTCGGAGGGAGAGGTTCACAGATTCATATATTGTAAGGCCAGAAGGGACCTCGGAAGATCATCGGGTCCAGCTCCCTGCACCAAGCAGGAAAGATAACTGGGCGTCAGGGGACCCCAGCGAGGTGACTGTCTAGACTCCTCTTGAAGATTTCCAGATTGCACCACCTCTGGAGGGAGGGGGCTTATTCCACAGTCTGGACACCGTGACTGAGACGTTTTTCCTAATGTTGAGCCTGAATCTCTGGAGAAGAAGAAACAGAGCCTTAAGGCCCCTCCGTACCAGCAGGAAACCTAGAAAAGGAAGAAGCTTTCCCGCAAGAGAGAAGTTGAGAACTCTTCTCCATGTCCACTGGGGATAAGACAAGAAGTAATGCAATTAAACTGTGGCAAGGGAGACTTAGATTAGACATTTTGGGAAAAAAACAACAACTAAGAATCAAGATAGTTAAGCAGAGAGAGAGATTACCTAGGGAGGGTTTGGAATCTTCATTATTGGAAGTTTTTAAGAGCAGGTTCGACAAATATGTCAGAAACTGGTTTACGTGGACCATGACTCCTAAAGGGTCTTCCACCCCCATTTTCAATGATTCACACAACAGCAAGTAGCAGGAGAATTCAAACTGGAGGGGCACGGCAGGACACGGGATGCACTTTTTCAGTTGAGACTGAACATGTTGAGTCTTTCTTGCTTTGCTAACATCTGCCACAATGAAATAAAGTTTCTGCCTCCTGCATAATTTGGGCTCTTGGTTAATTGCCTGTAGACGTCACAAATCTCCCTCTCATTTCCACCTCTGCCTCTTGCTTGTGGGTTAGCATCGCACCATCACACAGGCTGTTAGGTGTTTTTCGGAGTTCCCTCACACCATTCAACCAGCCGGTCAGAAGGACAAACGCCCGCCGCCTAAGGAACCGTATGCACTTGGCCTAACTTCTCCTGAAGCCGGTTTGCACGGGAAGAGGCACAAACCGCATCGCTGAGGCTAAGATCAAGGGAGAAAGGGGGCATCCGAACCTTGCATGTAAGCCTATCAGGAATGTGGGCATAGTCCACCTCACAACATAGTAGCCCCCGCTAATTGGGGGAGCTAGGGAGCACAGGAACAACTAAATTCACGGGACAAAAAATACAAAGACAGGCCAGGAGAGCAGGTCACTGGTTCAAAAAGAGCACACCAGGGACAGGGCTTGCACGTAGGATACCCACTTGGGCGTGGGGAGTATCCAAAGCCCCAGATGGATGGTCTGGGAGGGAGGACAGAGAGAGCAGCACAGACTGGACCATAGGGCGGCCATCGAGGGACCTCAAAAACGGAGGCCGGTTGCATTGAGCGCACAGCGATCACGTTCTTTCGACCCCTCTGAGCTGGAGGACATCTTTCGCTTGGGCGTTTTGAACGAAGGGCGATGTCGAACTGATTTTGAAGACCAGCGTTTAACGGCGG